CTTCCAAAAAAAAAAAAAAAAGGCATCATTACTGTCCAGATTGTTAAGGCATTCCAAGAATATACCCCTAAGTTACCCTCGCCAAGCCACAGTGCTACTGTCTGGCATCCCTAAACAAATGCGACGTCGTAGATTTAGACAGTGCAGAGCTAGAACACGGACTTCAGAGGAACACGACGTCCTGACCTTCTCCTGGAGACCCCTTCCCAAGATGGCAGACTGCCTCCAACCTCACAGACTGGGACCTGGCCTCTACCAACACAGGCTACACCTAGTGTTCAGGAGTTACCAAAATACTTAAGAGAGTCCGTGGGAATGACACCTGGCAGTCCCCAGTCAAGCCCAGGCAGCCTCTCTGGTTGCACAGACAGCACCTCACAGCAAGCTCGACGGGCCCAGAGGCCTTACCTTTGACATCCAGCTTCTGTGTGTGAACGAGCCCCAAGACCTGGATGTTCCCAGACGCGCTCTTCTTGCAAATACTGGCTCTTTCTGAGCAGCCAAGGGGCCAAGACCTGGCTGTTCCCAGATGCCCTCTTCTTGCAAATGCTGGCTCTTTCTGAGCAGCCAAGGGGTCCTTTATATACTTTCTGACACAAGTTTATGTAGTACCTATAAAATGACAAAGAGATAAGGGAGAAAAATAAATGATCTTGTGAAGAAGAGATAGTCCTGATACCTGAGAGTTCCATTCCGTTGCTGACCGCAGCACTAACACAGGTTTTCCAATAAAGGAAGGCCAAAGAGCTGGTGTCCACTGAAGACCCAGCACATGGGGTCTGAAGCACCACACATGCTGCACCCAAGACCCAGTGGTACAGGAGAAAAAGGAGCTCTGGGGGGGCAGGCGGTGGCCCGAGGCCTGGCAAGTTGCTGACCTTACTGGAAGCTACCTAAGTCCCCGAGTTCACTCTCCCATGAGGCCTTACAGTGCTGAGTGTCTGCAGAAAGGCCACGTGACACGTGCATCAGCCAGGACAAAATGCCTCGCCCAGCCAGCAGAACCTAAGGCATTGTCACCAGGAATCTGGGACACTACCATGCCTCCCCAAAACCAAAGGATGGGTGGGCTCCCTCGAAACACCAATGAGGAGCACCTGAACCCCCACCCTGCATCTCTTGGGCCTGGTCAGAGGACGTCCTCACCCACTCTGAGCTCAGAACCCTGCAGAGGGCACCGCAGCAGGCACCAGGGACTGCGTCCCAGGACAGTGGTGGAGCCATCGGCTTGTGACGGTGCAGCACTCCCTCTATGGCTCAAGGGCCCAGCTCAAGGGCCTGGCTGGGCAGAGAAACATCGAGTTCCAGACCGCCAGGTGTACCTCCCGGCTGTGGGTGGAGGGTACTCACGTGGCTCCTTCGTGGCCAACAACCCAGGACCCAGTGAGTGAGGACAGCAGTCGCAGGTCGTAGGTTTTGTGCTTCTGGACAAACTTGCACTCCATCTTCTTTGGCGGGCAGACAACTTTCGTTTTCCACTCGAACGTCACCTCGCAGCCACGGACTTCACTGAAGACTTGGGGCCTCCCGATGTCCTCATCTTCGTCACACTTGAAGATGATGGCAGATGTCCGGTGGCTGTTCGCTGGGGAGTCGGTGTGAACCGGTCAGAGCCCAGCCTGCACGGCTTGGGCTTCCACTCCTCTCCCCGGGCCACGTCAGCACGCACTGGCCATTCCCACGTGCCACCCCAGCCACCACGTCTTAGCTCCCTCACACACACCTTCGCTCTACACATATGAGACTGACGTACCAACAACAAAACACAGATTAACGAAATAAAGTTCTCGTGCTCCCTAAAAACCTGAGTGCTGGCCAATGGACCAGGAATAATATTCTCAAAATATGCCTCAGAACAAACTGAGCAGCCCCTGTGCCCGACAGCTACAGCTCCCGACGTGCCTCCTGGTGGTCCCGGGCATGCGCGAGAATTACAGCGAACTACAGCTCTCACGCATGCAGCGCATCTCACGCTCCCGGGGCACTCACTCCACATTACCAGGGTCCTCCACGACGCTGGTCTCGAGGGAACTAAGTGGGGCTCGCCGTAAACCCCAGCCCTATCCCTGCCACCTCTGTCACGTGGTGGAAAGCCAATGCCGAGCCGGGGTTTTGTGAATACCATTAGACACCCTGGAGCCCCTCAACAGGCAGTCATTTTGCCGAGACATGAATCCGAGCCACCACGGCTGAGAGCTGGCGTGTGGACGCGGGTCCCAGTCAGTGAGGGCCCAGCCGGTCAGCCAGCACCACGTCCACGCGGCTCTACTGATCGATGGCTGCAACGCTCCTCTGTAAAAGCAGCCCCGAGAAAAGATTTCATGGGACGTATGGCCATCGACTTCGACACCCACCAAGGCCTCAACACGATCGGGCCGCAGGGGGACCGAGGACTGCAGCAGGCGCCTCGGCCGCGGAGCCCGCTCCCCACTTACTGTGCCTGCAGAAGCCCCACTCGTGGTCTCGGTCGTAGTTGGCGGTGGTGGCACACCAGAGCTTCGCCCTGCTCTCCACGACACACTCCTCGTAGCTCTTCCCGTTGAAGAGGAAGGGGAAGACACAGGGGTCCCCCTCGTCGGTTTCTGGAAGGAAGATGAAGCCGGAATAACCGACTGCCAGCATCGCGCCAGCTGGGCCCTGGCGGCCTGCTGACCGAGGAACAGCAACCCAGTCACCCCAGCACTCATGAGCGCCCGCCAGAACGTGTGCCAATGCAGCAGGGTTAGAGGTGCAGGGTCACAGCGAACCCAGGCCTTCCACACACAACAGACCTGGGTTTAATCCTGGGTTTTCTTGTCGCTAAGTCACATTTCACACCTCGAGGAATTTACATCTACCCAGGTGCGAAGATTTACCTGGAGGGCAAAAGTCACCATTCACGTAACTTAAAATGACGGCTTCGTCCTGGTGCCGGTAATCCAGCCTCATCGATTGCAGCCGTCCGAACGACGCCCCCTTGCTCCCAGACAGCAGGCAGACGCCCCCGTCCTTGCAGCCGCCTTGATCGGGCCCGGCCGCCGCCGCGCACACCCCTACGCTGTACGTGCGCGAGTCTCGAGTCACCTGGGCAAACAGACGTGACGTGTGGCCGTGAGGGGAGCAGGACACAACTCTCCAGGCAAAGGGAGCCCCCTTGGCGCCGTCCACACAGAGCCACGGATGCCAGGCTGCGTGTCTCAGCACCAACACGTGCCACCCTTCCCCCAGGCCTGGGCTGTCCTCCAGGGCACCGCTGCGCGCCCCGCTGACTGCCCTGCACTCCCCCCACCCCGCCCAGCCCGCCTCTGCCCTGCTCCCCCTGCCAGCACACTGCTGGCACCCGCTACCCTGGCAGGCTTCTCCGGAGGCCCCACAGGAAGGGACCTGCTGAGACCTGAGCCCATGTTCTTTCACCTGGGAACGGGGACCGTGCGAGGACTGCCAATGGGCAAGGACACCTCAACAATCCACAGACTCAGGCCAGGGGCTCAGTATGACCCTGCCCCATAGGCCCAAGTGCTTCCGAAGGGCCACTCCTGGTTCCCTCCACGCGTCACTGTGCTTGACAAATGACTGATTCCTCCCCAGCTTACAGCCAGCCGGGCTGAAGACAGGAACTCCCGGCAGCTTCAGCCAGCCACACCAGACCAGGCCCTGCCCCATGTATGGGCGGCTCCAGGGGTGTCCCTGAAGCCACCTTGCCTCCTGCGCTGCCCACCCATGGGCTTGTTTGGTGCCACAAGCCCCAATGACAGGAACGCCGACGAGAGGTCAGTGCACGTACAAGCGCCACACAAGATGCCACGGCCCAGGAACCTTCCCGCTATGCGGACACGAGCCGCCCTCCACGCCCCGCCATGCTGCTAGTACCCTGTGACGTCACAGACCCCACATTCCCAGAAGACAGCCATGCCAGCCAACAGCCCGCGCAGCCCTGGGGCCGGTGGTGACCAAGCCACGGGGAGCGGCTACCTTAAAGGTGCTTCTGGAAAGGCTGGACAGGTTGAAGCTGTAGAGCAGCTGCTCGTCGGTCAGGGCACAGCCCTCAGTCTTCACTTCGTCCGGACAGACGATCGGCGTCTCCCACAGGAACACAAAGTCGCAATCGCTGGTCCTCAGCAGCTTAGGGGTTCCCTGTGGTCAACAGAGCCTGGGTCTCAAAATGCACACAGGTGCGTGTAACAGCCACACACTCTACTTCAACGCTGGCGAGCACCGGGGACGCAAGCCTCTGCCACATGCTACACTCAGAAAGACGGTCCGTGGACACTGTCACGTGGACCAACAGGCACCGGGAACACTCTACGGAAGAGACGGATACTCAGAGGCAGCCGCTGAAGGGACCCAGAGTCCCCGTGGCCATGCCCCTCACGCTCCACTAAACGCCATGACCTCTCCCTCAGTTTCCTGTACTTACAGAGAGGCATGGGGAGGGGGGGCAATGTTGCATGCCACGGGTAACAAGAAGAAAGGGAGTGTGGCCTTTCAATGGTCTTGAAGTGTCACGAGTGAGACCTCTGCGGGGCCGAGACCTTTCTCAGAGGAATGACGCATGCGCTTTCGCACCCCCACAACCAGAGTCTCCATCCGGCATTTACAGAAACTGAGTTCGAAGGGCAGGACATGGACTACCAGAACTGCACGTGGAACATTCCTGAACCAATGTATTGGTCATCGGGAAGGTCATGAAGCATTTTTGCGTCAAAAAATAAGTCATGACTTTTCTGGTGACCCGGTATTTCTCCCCTCTCTCCCTTAACGAAAACAAACCAGCCGCTCAGGAATTCCCATTTTAATTACTGCTGAGAATTTCCTTTTCTCCCACCGAAGTGTGAAAAGCAAGGAAAATCTTACAATCTCTGCACAGCTGGCAGTGTGAGGCGCCTGGTTACTCTCACGTGAGGTGAGGGTGGGGTGTGGGTCCATCCACATATAATCGCTTAGCTAACCAATCTCTAGAGCTGCCAGCAGCTCAGAGCTAACCACAGCTCCCTGTTCCTTACCGACTGTCTCTCACTGAGAGGTCGATCTCTGAGAGCCGAAGGACTACTGAGAACAGAAGCCTTCCAAGGTTAAGTCCGCGTTGCCTCACACTGTGTGAGTCTACAGAGGTGTCGCTAGATGCACCCACGGAAACACAGTCACGCATCCCTGCAGGAGGGACAGTCTGAGAACTGTGTCGGGAGACAATTTCCGCAGCATCTGAACATCGTGGAGCGCCCTGACACAAACCTAAGGCACAGATGCTGCACACCTGGGCCTGTGGCCTCCCCTGGGGCTCAGAGCCACATGCTGCACGGCCCGTTACCACAACGAAACTGCGGGCAACTGCACGGATGGTAACGAGTCCATGCCTCAGAACCGCACTGGAAACACGCACTCTGAAAGATCAAGCGTGGCCCACTGCACGTGGCACTGCGTGGCAGGAGCTTGGAGTGGACGCTGTGGAGTGAGAAGGGAGGGCCCAGGGCACGGCGGGGCAGACAGGAGACTGGGCACTGTGCGTTTCGGCTACACTAACTCTTCAAAATGCCTGCCCTCAATAAACTAACGTTAGCCTCCTGCGATGTGTTTATCTCCCTGTTTAACTTTTTGACTCTTCTGGAGCTACATACAAATGCGGGATTCGGCTGTACAAAAGTACTTTCTGTATAACGCTGGCGTTTTTCTACATTGTAAGTTTCTATTTTTTTTTTTACTTTCTACATATTTTTGGTTAACAACTAGTACATGAACACACACACGCTGGCCCAGGCCTACACAGGTCGGTATCGTCGATATGGCTGTCGCCCGCCGCCCCTTGTCGTCCCACTGGAAGGCCTTCGGGGCAGGAACAGGCATGGAGCCGTCATCTCCTGTGACGACGGTGCCTCCTTCTGGAATGCCCCACACGCCTGGCCGTGCAGTGGGCCTCTGACACCACACCATCACAAACACTATTCCCGTGTTCCAATGGCTACCACACTGGGGGACCTTTCCCACTCCAGGGTCACCTCCCAGGGTGACCGTCACATAGGTTCACTGCCAACCGAAACGTCCTCTCAGTGCACAGCTGGACCCAGAACTAGATAAACGGGGTTGAAAAATACACCTCACCTCTTCTTGACAACTCAGACTGTCACTGCAGAGCTCAGAGGTGCTTGGGGACTCGACAGGGACAGCCCCAGACAGCAATCATTTGGTTTTCCCCTCTCAGTTACTGTACTGTCCCTGTCTGGTGGCTGCTGGTCACCTCCAGCACAGGTAACAGACCATGTGCACAGCCACAGCAACTCCTGCCTTTGCGACCTGCTCCCGGCCCAGGAACGAGTCCTCCCCACTGAAACCGTAAAATGTACAATGGAGCCAAACCCATCACCGAGCCCCTTGGGGCTAGGTGGGCCTTGGAGCTCATCACTGTTAGGATTTTGTGCTGTTTCTGTTACAGAATGCACACGCACACGCACGCACTCCAGACCCTGTGACAAGCACACGGATACTTGTAAAGCAAAATGTGGGGTGTTCCTGTTTGCAAGACAAACACAGCCCATAAATAACCTCGCCCCAGCCCCATCCGAGGACTGGCCGCTTTTCAGAGCTTCCTGGATTTCGGAAGTGCAGGTGAGAGGCCGGAGCTGCGGAGCTGTGTCTGCTGCAGCAGTGCGGGCTAGGGGAAGCCATGCCACCGCTGAGCCGTCCGAGCTGCTGTGGAGTGGGGGCCGGAGCCACCAATGACTCCCAGTCATGGAGGGTGCAGGTCAAGGGAAAGCAGAGGCAAAAGTTAACGGAAGCTAGGGTTCTTTTTAAAAAGCACACAAAATATTGGGTTGTTGGAAAGTCATGATGCATTTTTGTGTAGGAAAATATGTCATACCTTACCGGATGATCTAATAAAAGCCGATAAACTCCTTAAAGGTAAAAGGCATACTCTGCTATCTTGGATCCAAGATCTCATTTGCTAACCCCATAACTTTGGGCTATCTCTTAAACAAAAGATAAAAGTCTGTCAGACTTACCAATAAGAATGAAATCAGCGATGTTATATTAAAAACTGAAAAGGTTATGCCACTTTGACATATTAGCAGTCAAAGTTGAATGTCCTGTCTCCACTCATGTGCCCTGTGTTTTCAAACTGTGGTAAACAGTCAGGTGCTGGGCGAGGCCACACATCCTCAACCAAGTTTTCTTTGTCCATAGTTTTAGTTTAAGGTATTTTGTGAATCAAGTAAAAAAAAAAAAAAAAATTAAAGACAACAACAAAAGCATGTAACAGATGTTACTGCCCGGCTCACTCCTCCCCTGCCCCGGGGTCTAGGTGGTACGGCAGCACACTCACCATGCTGATGCCTCTCTTGCAGTGGAACGCAATGAGCGAGGTGTAGTTGAAATGCTTGTCTGCCACGCAAGGAGTGCTGCTCTCAAAGTTCAAGTAAATTTCGTTTGCCACTGGATTGAGGATCGGAGGCCCTGAGACCCGGCCGATGTCCTAAACAAGCACAGTGGTAAAGAACAGTTCAGAAAATCACTGTCCCAAGGCGGTGGAGTAAGTTTCCAAATCCTATCTCCCTAGTTCCAGAAATGAGCAGCACTGAAAGAAACTAGGTCACTACCCACTCAGGTGAGGAGTCGGCGCTAGGATGCTACACAGACACTGCATCATCTACCCGTGGGCGTAGTCTGAAGCCTCAGCTTAGTTCCAAGTCGGGCTGGGTCTATTCTACTCACATTCAATTTTCAAACACTTGAAGCAAGAGGAATTTCTCTGTCCACCCACATCGAGACCACCTAGCCATCCATGGCCTGATGGCAGGAGGCTGGATTGGGTAGCCCCACTTCCTGCTGCCTGCTCATGCCCAGGCTGCCCTGAGCCTGCTCACTCCCTCGGCAGGGAAGGGCAGGGCCAGGGAGGGACACAGCCTCAGGAGGGGTAGTCTCGTTTGCTGTGGTTATTGCTCAGCATAGCACTCGACACATGTGAGCTGCTCAATACATACATTTTGGGTGGATAAACTAATGCAGAAACAGAGCACGTGATGCATGTGTGTGCGTGTACTGTGTGCACACCCACGTGCGCGTCTTCCCTGGGCTACTCTCAGCTGTGACATCCATTCACCACCACGGGCTATGTTCAGACCACCCGACATAACACAGGCTCCTGTGAGAGAACTTCATACACGTTTCAAAGCCTGCAGGGGTCGGCCAAGCACACCAGGCAGGAGATGGGACCTCTCCGGAACTGACTGGCAGTCTAGGAGCCCAGCCTGCACCGTGGGGAAGGACGTCACTTAGAGGGCTGCCCGTGAAAGGCCACACTGCCCATGCCCTGCCCACCTGGCTGGGGCTCTGCCGGATTACGGTGAAGCCGCTTCCCCGCCCGCTCCCAACGTTTCTCCACACCAACCACCATGTCCATCTTTTGGAAGGGCAGCCAGCTATCTTACAAGAAATATAGATAACATAGAGACAGATAGAAATAACAAACTTCTGAGATACACCCCAAGTACTCAAGTACATTGATAATCTAATAAAATATGCCTACAACTCACAGGGACCGCTTTTTCGTTTTGCTTGTTTATTTTTTTTGAGAGATCTATGCTATAGGGCACATGTGCTTGCCAGAGACAGAAAACAAGAAATTACTCCCAGGGGGATGGCCACGCTGCAATCCCTTCTCCTCCATTCTCCTCTCTGGGTTTTGGGCACACATGTCCAGTGTGAGTTTTAAGACATCAAGTCCGGAACTCGAACTGCAGTCAACTACGTGGGAGTCCAGCAACTTAACCATCATGTCATCTGCTGGTCCCGGTGACAGTTTTTAAAATTCCAAAGCCACACTAAAAAATAATAATGTAAGACCCAAGCTTTCAGGCTAGCAGGTGGCATAGTGAAGGCACTGGAGCCCACATGATCGACTACACAGTTCGAGTCCTACACCCAGTTGCTTGAAATACACACTGAGCACGTGTGCAAACCCCAAGAGGAAAATGGAGGAGAAAAGGAGTATGGAGCAGCTACCCTCCCAGGGAGAGATTTCTCACTTGAGTAGAGTGGGGCCCGGAGCCACCAATGACTCCCAGTCATGGAGGGTGCAGGTCAAGGGAAAGCAGAGGCAAAAGTTAACGGAAGCTAGGGTTCTTTTTAAAAAGCACACAAAATATTGGGTTGTTGGAAAGTCATGATGCATTTTTGTGTAGGAAAATATGTCATACCTTACCGGATGATCTAATAAAAGCCGATAAACTCCTTAAAGGTAAAAGGCATACTCTGCTATCTTGGATCCAAGATCTCATTTGCTAACCCCATAACTTTGGGCTATCTCTTAAACAAAAGATAAAAGTCTGTCAGACTTACCAATAAGAATGAAATCAGCGATGTTATATTAAAAACTGAAAAGGTTATGCCACTTTGACATATTAGCAGTCAAAGTTGAATGTCCTGTCTCCACTCATGTGCCCTGTGTTTTCAAACTGTGGTAAACAGTCAGGTGCTGGGCGAGGCCACACATCCTCAACCAAGTTTTCTTTGTCCATAGTTTTAGTTTAAGGTATTTTGTGAATCAAGTAAAAAAAAAAAAAAAAATTAAAGACAACAACAAAAGCATGTAACAGATGTTAAGTATGGAAAGTTACTGTGTAAAGTATTATCTTTGCCTTGCTTGACGTCCCATGTATTTATGCTTTGGAGCCAAATGTATAATGATTTATAAAAAAATTATCTAAAGGGAAAAAAAAAAAGCCATGTGGGCTCCCCCCCGCCGCTGTACTACAACATCCAAGGCGGGCGTTGTGCAGGGAGACCTCTGGCCTGCCCGGCTCACTCCTCCCCTGCCCCGGGGTCTAGGTGGTACGGCAGCACACTCACCATGCTGATGCCTCTCTTGCAGTGGAACGCAATGAGCGAGGTGTAGTTGAAATGCTTGTCTGCCACGCAAGGAGTGCTGCTCTCAAAGTTCAAGTAAATTTCGTTTGCCACTGGATTGAGGATCGGAGGCCCTGAGACCCGGCCGATGTCCTAAACAAGCACAGTGGTAAAGAACAGTTCAGAAAATCACTGTCCCAAGGCGGTGGAGTAAGTTTCCAAATCCTATCTCCCTAGTTCCAGAAATGAGCAGCACTGAAAGAAACTAGGTCACTACCCACTCAGGTGAGGAGTCGGCGCTAGGATGCTACACAGACACTGCATCATCTACCCGTGGGCGTAGTCTGAAGCCTCAGCTTAGTTCCAAGTCGGGCTGGGTCTATTCTACTCACATTCAATTTTCAAACACTTGAAGCAAGAGGAATTTCTCTGTCCACCCACATCGAGACCACCTAGCCATCCATGGCCTGATGGCAGGAGGCTGGATTGGGTAGCCCCACTTCCTGCTGCCTGCTCATGCCCAGGCTGCCCTGAGCCTGCTCACTCCCTCGGCAGGGAAGGGCAGGGCCAGGGAGGGACACAGCCTCAGGAGGGGTAGTCTCGTTTGCTGTGGTTATTGCTCAGCATAGCACTCGACACATGTGAGCTGCTCAATACATACATTTTGGGTGGATAAACTAATGCAGAAACAGAGCACGTGATGCATGTGTGTGCGTGTACTGTGTGCACACCCACGTGCGCGTCTTCCCTGGGCTACTCTCAGCTGTGACATCCATTCACCACCACGGGCTATGTTCAGACCACCCGACATAACACAGGCTCCTGTGAGAGAACTTCATACACGTTTCAAAGCCTGCAGGGGTCGGCCAAGCACACCAGGCAGGAGATGGGACCTCTCCGGAACTGACTGGCAGTCTAGGAGCCCAGCCTGCACCGTGGGGAAGGACGTCACTTAGAGGGCTGCCCGTGAAAGGCCACACTGCCCATGCCCTGCCCACCTGGCTGGGGCTCTGCCGGATTACGGTGAAGCCGCTTCCCCGCCCGCTCCCAACGTTTCTCCACACCAACCACCATGTCCATCTTTTGGAAGGGCAGCCAGCTATCTTACAAGAAATATAGATAACATAGAGACAGATAGAAATAACAAACTTCTGAGATACACCCCAAGTACTCAAGTACATTGATAATCTAATAAAATATGCCTACAACTCACAGGGACCGCTTTTTCGTTTTGCTTGTTTATTTTTTTTGAGAGATCTATGCTATAGGGCACATGTGCTTGCCAGAGACAGAAAACAAGAAATTACTCCCAGGGGGATGGCCACGCTGCAATCCCTTCTCCTCCATTCTCCTCTCTGGGTTTTGGGCACACATGTCCAGTGTGAGTTTTAAGACATCAAGTCCGGAACTCGAACTGCAGTCAACTACGTGGGAGTCCAGCAACTTAACCATCATGTCATCTGCTGGTCCCGGTGACAGTTTTTAAAATTCCAAAGCCACACTAAAAAATAATAATGTAAGACCCAAGCTTTCAGGCTAGCAGGTGGCATAGTGAAGGCACTGGAGCCCACATGATCGACTACACAGTTCGAGTCCTACACCCAGTTGCTTGAAATACACACTGAGCACGTGTGCAAACCCCAAGAGGAAAATGGAGGAGAAAAGGAGTATGGAGCAGCTACCCTCCCAGGGAGAGATTTCTCACTTGAGTCTCTCTGGTGAGCACGTGAGCCTATAGCAAAAACAAAAACAAAACAACAAAAACCCAAGCCTTTAAGACAAGGTCTCGGCTATGAGCAAACTTCCTCCTTCCATTAATTGTAACATTACCTAAGAAACTGCTTGCATTTCACAAGCCTTTGAGTCACACAAGACAAGCATTTTCAGCACAGCAACAAAGCTGTCACTGTTTTCGTCTACGTTACCTAAAGGGCTCTGGATGAGGTCAGCCCTGAGGCCCCCACGTCTGCTCACTTTCTGGCTACATTTCTGACCGATGACTCAGTGCACAGAGCTGCACATTAACCTTCTCTTGGGTCTGGAGCATACAGTTTCGGCTAATCTCTCCGTCCTCCCTGCTCAAGTAACTCTCCACACCACACGGCTTATCACTGAAGGTCTTGCAGAAAGGGTCGGCACCTTGCGCTTCGTACTTACGATGGGGGGCCCACTGACAGGAACTTTGCACACGGCGGCCCCTGCAGGACAGGGCACCCCGTGCATGGGGTTTAGCGGCTGGCAGATGTTGATATAGAAATCGGGGTTGGTATCGGAGGCGCCATCCTCACTCTCGTCATATGCTTTGTAGCCGCCAGTGCGGTGGATGAGGGGGGACAGGTCGATGATAGAGCTTCCGTTCCTCACGGAACACTCCGTCTGTGGAATAGGAAAGACCACGTCTGAGTCCTCCGAGAAATTTCCATAATGACCATCAAGTCATCCATAAGATTTTAGAAGCTGAACAAAAGTAGCAGAGTGGGGATTAATGTCTTCAGATGCTTTGTCACACAGCGCCAGGCATTTTCCACCCACTTTATCCACTGGCACCATCGGGAAGCTGGCAGGGAGCCCACTGGGAAGGGGATGCCCCACAGAGGACCGAGGACTGACCGCGGAGCCCACTCGGACTCACCGCCTGCTCACAGGCCAGAGGCGTGTGCCAGGAGAAGAAGAGCGTGCACGTCTGCTTGTCCAGGGAGATGAGCATGGGTCTGTTGGTCGGCCCGGCCTCGGGCCTGCACACGAAGCTGATGACACTCTTGTAGCTCAGGCCGGATTTGGAGGGACACGGGGACCCATCCTCATAAACCAGCTGCAAGATCTGGTCCACGTAGGTCAGCCTCTTGCTGGCCTTACCCACACTGATCCGGGTCTGTCCGAAGCAGGCTCCTGCACCACCGGGGAGGCAGGGAAGGGCACAGGTGAGGGTTAAGTAGCCAGTTTCCTTAAGAGAACTTTCTAAAAATCCTGACCATCGAATGTCCAGCCACAACTGGCCATGTGAGCGTCCTTCTGTCTGTTAGCCAGTGTGATCCGCGTGCCCACCCGTGTGCCTGCTGACCACGCAGAAATCGGCTTTGCTCACTGCTCACCACTGGCCCACAGGCAGACAGCCCAGGGATGGGAGAGGTGGACAATGCCCGAGAGGCTGTGGCACCTACCCACGCCGGGGAGGCAGTTCTCGTTCTCCCCGCAGATGCTCATGTAGACCAGCCCCTTCTCGCTGTAGGCCGCCGTGAACCCAGCTCTGCCACTTAAGGAGCTCAGGTCGAACAGATGCCCTGAAAGGGTAAGGGGGAGCACAGTGATCCCGTGAGCTCAGCAAGGACCACGACACCGTCAAACCTTGACCTGTCCCCACGGCTCACTGCCCTTCACCGACCCAGCCTAGGGTGCCCGACCAGCTGGCCCACGTCAAGAGGCCGTCGATCCCTGAGATCGTGGCTCACGGCTCCTGCTCCCCTGGGGCCGTACTGCAGCAGAGCCAAGGAGTCCACGGGCATGGGAGGGGCCACTGTACCCCTCTTCCTGCCCTGCCAGCGGGCCCCACGGGAGGAGCCACTGTACCCCTCTACCTGCCAGTGGGCCACCTCCCCCAGACCTTCCTGGTGCCCAGCCACAGGGACAGTGGCACCACTGTGCTGGCTTCGAAAGGCCACCAGCCACGAAGAGCTCTCAGAGTGACAGGACACAACTTCTGGGGGCAGCAGTCACTGACCCCAAGGACACCGGGCGGGTCCAGAGGAAAAGCTGGGCATGCCCATGCCCCCATACACACCCACGCCCACATACATGCCCACACTCCCATACACACACCCATGAACGCCCATGCCCCCATACACACCCACACCCACATACACGCCCACACTCCCATACACGCATCCATGAACGCCTGCACCCATACACACCCGTGCACCCATACATGCCCACACTCCCATACCCGCACCCATGAACGCCCGCACCCCCATACACACCTGCACCCATACACACACCCACACTCCCATACACACACCCATGAACGCCCATGCCCCCATACACACCCGCACCCATACACACGCCCACACTCCCATACACGCATCCATGAACGCCTGCACCCATACACACCCGTGCACCCATACATGCCCACACTCCCATAAACGCCCGTACCCCCATACACACCCGTGCCCACATACATGCCCACACCCCATACATACACCCATGAACGCCCATGCCCCCATACACACCCGCGCACACATACACGCTCACACTCCCATACACACATCCATGAACGCCCGCACCCCCATACACACCCATGCCCACATACATGCCCACACCCCCATACACGCACCCATGAATGCCCGGGCACCCATACACGCACACATACACACCCGCACCCCCATACACACACCCATACACGCCCACACACCCATACACGCCCACGCATGCCACTCACACCCGAGGAGGCCTATGCCCGCTGCCGGCACGTCCCCCTGCCCTCACCCGTCCCGAGGGGCCTATGCCCGCTGCCGGCACGTCCCCCTGCCCTCACCCGTCCCGAGGGGCCTATGCCCGCTGCCGGCACGTCCCCCTGCCCTCACCCGTGCTGGGGTTGGTGACCTGGCAGTCGTCATGCACGTTGCTCTTCACGGGACAGGCGGCGGCCGTGGGCCAGGAGAAGGTGTACTCACAGTCCTCCACCGCGCTGATGAACATGGGCCTGGAGTTCTGCAGCCAAGACCGACAGTCAGTGCCCAGGACGCGCTGGACACGCGTCGCCCTTCGCTCCCACCGAAGCGGGGGGCTTCTCAGGGAAACACCACGGGGGGGTTTCTGTGGGAGTTCTGTCTCGCCATCCCTACAGGGTGAGGTTGGACTAGGGGAAAATGAGGGTTGGAATCCACTCCCGCGGCCAGCACAGGCTCAGCAGCACAGGAAAGCGGAGCGCGGCCAGGGTCAGAGCACGCACTCGGGCACCAGGAAGACCTCTCGGGCCCAGGCACAATCAACCTGGGCACGGGGGTGGGGAGGGGGCTCAGAGGGCCTCCGGGAGACACCGTAAATCACCGATACGATGCTGGAAGCTGTGAGCTGAACAATCTGTCACAATGGTAAACACACAACCCTCCCCCGGCCCCAGTGACACTGCCCTGCTCGAGTTGAAGACTCCCGCCGACCCAAGGTGGTAAGACCTGGTCAGCGGCACTCTCCTTCCCAGGTGAAGCGGCCGGCCGCCCCCACTGCAGTCCTGCCTCCTGCACACGGGGGACGGGCCCCACACACTCCCCTCACGTGCTGGGCCCTTCCACCCTTAGCCAGGACCCTGCTTCTCAGAGAGAAGGGGCCCCTAGGGCACGGCGTCCATGCCCGCTGCCTGAGCCATGCGCCTCTGCAGACAGCTTCCAAACGGAGACCCACCCCGTCTCTGTAAGAGGGCAGGCCCCAGCTCCAGAGCCCCTGGCCCAGCCCCCTCCCGCAGCTGCCGACAGAGCCGGGCTCCACCAGCCTGACCCAACGCTCTGGCCCAGCCCCGACCTCACCAGCACACAGCACACGGGGTTGCCCCAGCCTCAAAACCAAGAGACCTGAGCGCAGCCGACACTGCTGAGCTGCATAAGGCCAGCACAGGGGAGGAATCGGTCCCGGTCAGCCCCCATTTGTTGCACACCTACTGTGCGTCAGCCATCTCCTGCCTCTGTCTGCACCTTGCACCCCTCAGCCGAACGGGCACACCTCGTGCTGTGGCCGGGAAGCAGCGGAGGGTGCCTCTGTAATGACCCACATCACACAGCTAAGAGGGGAAGGGCCGCCCCGATGCGCTCTTCCAGACTGCCGCATGAAGCCAAGTGCGTGCAGTGAACATCCACTTCCCTGCAGTCCTTGGGAAGGTGCGAGTCACCCTCCACAGAGAACCCGTGAGGCTCGGACAGACGCTAGAACTGCCGGGGAGGGCCCTACGGAGCAGGGAGGAGGCGTGCGCCCTGACAGCAGTCACGGGGAGGCTCTGCCCTCCGATGAGCTGCGGCCCCCCGTGCCCTCCACTTGCAGCCCAGGGAACCAGGCCGTGGAGTCGCCAGCCCTCCCTGGGGTCTCCAGCCCAGCGGGACCGAGATGCACATGCTCACCACTTGGCTCTCGCTGCAGGAGAACCGGATGGTGGTGGACCGTTTCCGAATCTGATCTGGACACAGGTCGCCGTCGACATACACGATGACCGTCGCGCCGTCTCTCCACTGAGGCCCGTCCCTCACTCGGCCAAGGTTCAGGGGCTTGGAGCCGTTCAGCAGACACACAGCAGCCTCTGGGGGGCATGGCTCTGTGGCAGACAAGGTGCAGGTGACCGTCCCCTCCAGGACTCACCTCGACTTCCCTGGGCAGGGCAGGTGGGCCTGGTGCAGAGCCCTCCACCTTCCAGCCTTACAGCCACCCATCCTGCCATTTGTTCCACAGGTGTCGGGAAACCCCGACACCACATCGGCCCCCACTTAAACGCTGCTTCACCCCAGAGGGACTGTGGACCAGTGCAGGACCTAGTGGGGCTCAGACGCAGCAGTCTGAGTTATTCCTGAACCCCACGGATAACGAAGCGAGAAGTCCTGGACTGCACCAGTGGAACTTACACGCCTGTGTTCGTGTACTCTCTGTACTCAAGAGGGCACCAAGAATGCCTGTCTCCCGCCTCCAAAACGCCTGTGCCAACAGGCAGCATCAGATGAAGGCGTAGCCCCACACCTTGCAGGACTGCTCAGCACAGCAAGGGCAGACCCCTGCCTCTGACCTGGCGGAGGAGGAATGCCACTATCTGCAGTTAAATCCCATGCTCCGTCTGAGCAGAGCCACGCACATGTGAGTGGGGCTGTATTAAACACCAACGAAAACAGGACATGTGTCGTCTTCCAGAGCCAGGAGGCTATGGGCGGCACCAGGATCACCAGGGACTGCTCGGGGTCCCACAAGTCCAGCTGATTCCTAGTCTCATCCCTGGCACTAAGGGCTGGCGAGCTGTCCCTGCACCGTAAGAGGGTCGCCTGCCATGCTCCACCAATGCGGTGGGCACATACTGGGCTCCGCTTCGGCCCTCCTCCCTCCCTGCTAAGGCAACACCGTGATTATTTCCCCTACCTCCATCTCCTGCCTGTCACCACGGTTACAATGCTCCAACAGAGCCCACAGCCTGAGCTATCCTGGGGTCAGGCACCAAGCCCCAGAAATCATCCCTCCTCCAATTCCCTCCCACCGCGCAGAACCAGGTAGCTCCCCAGACCCAGCTCCCTGCACCAGCCCCCCCACCCCCACCATGACCCGTCAAGGGCTCCCCCCTCACCGCTGCCGGCCTGTGGAGCCAGGGACTTGCATACGTTGATGAGGTAGTGCTCAGTGGCCCCTGTCCCGGTGATGGCTTCCCAGTTGTCACTGTACCTTGACAGGGACGAGAGGTCGAAGGAGTTGCCAGCCGCGTCTCTGCAGGGAAGAGAACACTGCGGTTAGGGTCACTTGTGTTCTGGCTGAAGAGTCAACACTGTCTGGAAAGGCTTGCATATTTCAGGCACGGTCTGCTCCAGCATCCTGTCGATCAAATCTCACCCCAGGACAGAGCAGTAGACCAGACCTCTCTGCCCCATGTCTGCTCAGAATCAGCAACAACACAACTTTGAGTTCAGAAAATTCTAAGAGTCACTTTAACAAAACTAAGTATTAGCCAAAAAAATCATAAAGTCTGACGAGTAAGTGCAGTCCGTGCCAAGGCCAGCGCCGAGCAGGACTTGCTGTGCGACAAGAGCCAACGGCTGAGAGGCTCGGAGCACACGCAGCACAGGCCACCCGGGGGAATGGCCCAAGCGGGCCACCAAGGGCCACTGAAAACAAAGACGGGCCTGTGCTGACCTTCCTGCTCAGGATAAGGGTTCACTTACTACACTGAGAACCAGCCAGGTACCAAGTCAGCATGGGCGGCGAGCAGAAAGAAAGTGCTTATTCAAAAGACGCGTGCACAGCTAGAGGGGCCGCACTCAACGAGACAGGCAGGACTGCGTATCTCATGAACTCCACGGTTATTAACGGAAGGAAAAGGATCGTGAGCAACACAAAGTACAGTATACAAGGGATCTTCCGAAAGTTCGTGGAAAGTACAGGCCAGCGGGTGGCATGAGGGTGAAGGCAGATGGATTCCAATGTGGCCAACTGTGCAGTTTTTTTTCCAAGCCAGACTGGCAGCTTGGGACGCAGGCTAGGTGCAGGTACGTGCATACCCAAAATCCCAAGAAGAGAACAGAAGAGAAGGGACTGCAGTGTGGCCATTCCTCCTGAGGGTGCCTGGATGCTTTCTCTCTTTCTCTCTCTTTCTCTGTCTCTCTGGTAAGTACATGTTCCCTACAGCAAATTTTAAACAGAAGAGTTCATAGGAATGTGCATGTGAAAAACCATGTGTGGATTTCAAAAACTTCTGCAAAATAAACTAGTACTTTAACTCCATCTTTCTGCAAATTTTTTTCAATTCCTTTCATAGTAGAGCTGCAGAAAAGGAAAGGCAGGGAAGGAGGATCGATGTTTGGAGGAGCAGGAGTAATGGGAACTCAAGAGAGTGGCCAGGGAAGGCTTTACTGAGAGGTGGCCTCTGAGTAAACTCTGAAAAGGGAGGAATGGTTAACGACAGGGGCCCTGCAGAGAGCACCACATGCAGCAGAACGGCACGAGCAAAGGGCCTGCAGCACAGCCTGGCCTGCTCGAAGACGAGGAGGACCTCAGTGTGGCAGAAGCAGGGTACATGTGAGGGCGTGGCATGCACGACGGGGACAGAGTCTGACTTCTGCCGGGCTCGGCTAGTCATATGTGTGGCCGGGCGGAGGAGGAGGCCTCTGAGGGTACAGTAAGCACAGGAGGATTTGAGCCAGGGTGGAGTCTGCAGGAAGAGCCATATGCTGGTGGTAGGATGAGAAATAGAGTTTCTACCATGTCTTCGAACGTTCCGAAGGTATTCAATAAAATAAATGAAAACACAGCTTAAAAAAAGGCAGGGTGAAGCAGACAGAAGGCCAGTACCAGTGAAGTGCACCGAGTCACCGACAAGCCTCCGGGCTAGTTACCTGGCCAGGCTCCAACACTGCTGCCCACCTATGCATGCTTCTGTTAGCTCTCCCCCCGTAAGGACTTGGGCGGAAGGACCTGCGTCTTCACCAACATGCCCCCAGCACAAGCAGCATCAAGGAAGCAGCAGAACCTCTGCAGTGACCCCCTTGCCCCTCCACCCACACAAAGTGGGAGTCACTCAAGGCTGCAACGTCCTGCTCAGCTCTAATCATGTCCCCTGGCCCTCGGTCTTCATACAAAATCATCACAGACTCTCAGAGCTCTGAAGGACCTAGGAGTTCACCCCAAAACTAAGGCCTGAAAAACATGAACTAATCCTGTCCCCTAGACCACAAGCAAAATCGTGTCGAGTGAGTCTGGTTGTCCAAAAGAGCCCCCACACACGTCGACTTACTTGTACGAGCATTCAGTGAGATCGAAGGGCGGGCAGGCATACTGCGTGCGCCACTCGAACAAGTAGGAGCAGTCGGAAGTCTCCCTCAGGAACACTGGCTAGGAAAGCAAGAAGACACACGTGAACACGCGGCAAGCACCAGGTGGTCTACACTTGGCATTTTATGAGTGAAAACCAGGACGGTACTATGTTCATGAGCATCTACACAACCGATGACGGTGTCCACGTTTTTACAAGCGATGTTCTTTACCAAGCTAAGTAGATCTCATGAGCTCTGAGAGCAGATTAGTTTTAGAGAGACCGCAGCAGCACTGGGTGCTGCGGCTCTGGGGGTCAGTATGTGCGCACCCCCAGGGCTGTCAGCACTCACTCACCTTCTGGGTGCTACGGTCGCAGTAGAAAAAGATGGTGGTGGAGCGCTGGTAGACCTTATGGCAGGTGTCCCCCCCGGTGTAGTTTATTTTTAACAACCCGTTCTCGTAAGTCAGCTTCTGCGTAGGGAGGCCTGTTCAAGAAGCAGCGCGTTCAACGAGGCTCGATTCAAGACATCCTCAGGCACCTCACTTAACATGAGACAGTCACGTCAGGCCCACCCGGGGTTACAGGACGGGGAACCCCTGGCCCAGTGGCCCTGCACCACCAGCTCCTCAACACCTTACCTGAAGAATAAAAGCAGGCCTCTCCCGGACCAAGGCTGCGCCACAACAGTAAGCACAGACACAGACACGTGACACCCCGGAGCCCAGGCAGAGGGTCGGAACATCCTCCATAGCACTCTGGCTTCTAGTACTCCCGTGTCAGCTACTTCATTACATGAGTTTTTGTTTTTGTTTTTTTTTGAATTATTTTATTATTATTAATTAATTTGCCATAGGGCACGTGCACTCATGAGAGAGGTGTGGTGGGGAGGAGAGTGAGAAAGCAAGCTGCCAGGTCTGGGACTAGAACCGCAGTTGATCATGTAGGAGTCCAGCACCTTAACCACCATGCCACCTGCTGCCCCCCCGTTTCATGAGTTGTTGTTTTCTTTTTTCAATTATTTGTCTTTGATTGTATTATTATTATTATTATTATTTTTTTTTTTTTTTAATTTGGCCAGAGAGAAAGCAAGCCACCAGGTCTGGTGGTCAGCCATGCCACCTGTGAGCCCCTTTCACAAGTTCGTAAACTTACTTAAATCTTGCTCCGCTGTGAAACAGCCTGAATGGTCAAGTCAGCCATGCCGCTTCATAGCCAAACCCCTTCCAAGGCATCCCTCGGAATCTATTCCAGACAGCGCTACCTGAGAACACCCATCCCTAGCTGGGTCAGTGCATCCCAATGCCTCAATAAAAGAAAAAATTACAGTCTTAGAGTCAGTGACTGGAACAAACAAGTGAGAAGAGAATACTGCCCTAAGAGTACTGTTCTGGACGTCTCCAGGTAAGAAGAAGCAAGTGAAGCCCGACTGGTCACCGAGAGCGCCTCACCAGAACACAGCACTGCCTCCCTACTGGGGAGAACTGTAGCTTCGCACATCCCAACAGTGTGTTCCATCCCTCTGCAACAGCGGGGCGGGGCTAGATGGTGGCCCGACGGGAAAACACAGGCTCCTCCAGGCTAGCACAGTGGAAGGTTCTGGGCTCGTGCTCAGACCTGCTGAGTGCACCAGACACATGCGTGGCTGAAGCTGGCCCCACTGTGAGTTCTCTCTCTCTCTCACTCATTCACAGAAGAACTACGCCTTTAAAAGAAAAAGCAGAAGGAAAGACGAGGGTACCTGCCACTTTCTGAAATCCCTGTGGCCCGCGCTTTTCCTGACACGAGGAGACGGCGTGGGTCCTGTCGTCCGTGGGACAGACGCCGGAGGAGAGCTTCCCACAGACCCGGAAGTAGTAGGTGTACTCGCCAGCGCTCACCACCGTGTCGTTGAAGGCCAGCGGCTTCAGGTCATACAGGTTGCCGTGCCGCGGGTCCCTCACCTCGCAGTTGTCTCCTTCGAGAACACGAGAGGCAAAAGGCAACGGAGGTTGCGTGCATGTCGACTTTTGGGCGAGAACCTTCATAATTTTTAATCAGGGAAGTCCTATCTTACGACAGGCACTGAAAGACATTTCCAGTCTTCTATTTTGTTTATATATAACACAAATTGCCAGGCAAACAGCTTTCTAAAAAACCAAGGTCACAGGATTAAGATTCCCTCTACCAGAGGAAACCAAGTCCCAGGTTAATGTTTCCAGAGCGAGAAGCTAAAACCAGGCACGCAGGGGAAAGCACTGGCAAATCGGCAACGTCCTTGAGTAAGAAGACCGCCAGGGCGAGGCCCGGTCCACCATGAGCACGCCACATTCCCGCCCACGGGCCTGGCCCACAGTGAGATCTGAGACCTGGAGCGCACTCCCAGGACCTGCTCCACACCCTGACGTGCAGCGAAGGGCCAGGCCTCACCTTCCACCCTGAGAACGGGACAGGCTTCCACCGTCCTCCAGACAAACACGAACTCGCAGTCATCCAGCAGCTTCTGGAAGGTTGGTGAGCCCTGTAAGACAAGCCAACAGTTTCCTTTGTTTCCTTTTCATTTATTGAAAAAAATTAAAAAAGAGTAAAAAAATTAAAATAAAAAACCAGGGAACTAGCAGTTAGCGTAATGGCTATGTTGCTGGACTCCCACGTAGTCGACCGCAGTTCATGTCCCGGACCTGGTGGCTTAAACTCATGCCGGGCACATGTGCGTGCGTGCCCAAGATCCCGAGAGGAGAATGGAGGAGAAGGGATTGCGGCGTGGCCATCCCCCCTGGGGGGCGATTTCTCGCTTTCTGTCTCTCTGTCTCTCTCTCTGTCTGTCTAGTGAGTGCACGTGCCCTCTAGCGAAAACCTCTCCAAATAAATAAATAAATAAATAAGTAAATAACCAGAGCCAGCATTCACGTCCTAAGTTTCACGAGCGCGGTAAGCAGCATGTATTAAACATTCAGAACTGGAGAATAGTCCATTCTGGCCAAACCCTGTGGCTGCCCCCAAACCCATGAAAACAGGAGATTTTAAACAAAACTGAAGATGCAGGTGGTAAATGGACATGGGGAATGGACCTGCCACGGACAGACACCGAGGGGCGTGCGAACTCGTACCGTTATCTGAGCACACTCGAAAGTGATCCTGGTGGAGAAGCGCCGGTTTCCACACCTGTCCCCGTTGACGTACACGATGCTCAGGGACCCGTTCACCGCAGCCTGGGGGCTGATCTGCACCACACCCAGGTTCCAGCTGTTGTCTTCGGACACTAAGCAAGACCCCACTGCGCTGCCTGAAATTTCGAACAGGAGAATCAGCTTTGGGCGACAGGTGGAACGGGAGTTCGGCCTCAGGTCAAACACGCTAGCATGAACAGAATCACTAACACGAACAGAATTAAATCAAAGGTCGGGCCAGAACTCACCGCGGCATCCGGGGATGTAAGGGAGAGGATTGCAGACACTCAGGTAGAAAGTCCTCTTCTTCCCCTCAGCCGAGGTGTCGACAGCGGTCCAGGGCTTCCTGGTGGTGCTCAAGCCGCTAAGATCATACTCGTTTCCAGCCGCATCTGAAACGTGACCACGCGCTGGAAAAGCTGCCGGCTGGCGAGCTCCTGGCAGCCCCCTGCACCTGAGGAAGGCGGCAGAGGCCTGCACTTCACGCTCCTAACCACAAGAACCAAGACACCCATAGGAGGCTGCGACCTCCACCTCCAGACACGGCACCCTGCCCTGTCCCCCAGACGGCACCCTGCCCTGTCCCCCAGACTGCACCCTACAGAGAGCCACTACTGGGGGGCAGAGCCAGCCCACAGAGACTGAGGGGCCGAGGACACCATCCGGCTTCCAGGATGTGGCTCGGGGGGTTTCCACAACTTTTCTTTTTCTTCCTCAAATAAGCTCTGACAGTGTGATTTGATTTCCCCCCTTCGGAGTTTTCTTCTCTGTTCTTCAGCAGG